ACCCCCAGCCCGCGCCGGCGCCGGCCGAGGGCGTGCACTGGTACTCGCGGCTGCTTTACCGGATTGGCACCTGGCTGTTGGACAGCGAGGCCCTGCACCCCCTGGGCATGGCGGTGGCGTCCAGCTGAAGCCTGGGCCGGGAGGCGCGCAGGCGGGCGCGGGCGCCGCGGCCAGGTGGAGCGAAGACGCACAGAAAAGCGCAGCGAATGAGACTTCCATTATCCTAAATAATAATAATAATAATAAAGTAGGACGGTCCAAAGTAGACTATAAGGAAACAAAGACCCCGGGGAGTTTTGTTGTTGTGTTTAGTTTATATATATATTTTTTGAATTTTTGGTTATTTTTTTCTCATCTCCTGGCTATTTATTTGGTATGAATAGATGTTTTAAATAATATGAACCGGACCTTCAAGAGCCTTAACTAGTTTGTGTCTTGGATAATTTATTATTATCATGTGAACTGTATCGACGGGGGGGGGGAGAGATTATTTTGTGCGGCCAAGCGACCTGCTCGGAGTCTATTTTTCTACATGTCCCTGGTCCGGGGCGTCGGGGAACAGATGTGTGCCCCCAGTCCTCCCTGCCGCGCTCCCGCTTCCCCGCCAGTGTAAACTAAAACGCGCTTCATGGGGGTCCACAAATTATATTTTTATACACAGAATTGTAAATTAGATTTTTTTGAGAGATCAATACTTAACTGAATGACATTTCATTCTTTGAAATAGTGTAAAATATGAAATATATTATTTTAATTTAACTAGTTTCCAATGTTAACAACCGTTTCCTGTACTGTCTCCGTGGTTTAACACTGGCTTTCATCATCTTTATTTGGGCCACGTTCTTGGATGCCGAGACTGTTACACACTCACACACACACTTTTTTGGGGGGACAAACTGGAAGAACTCTGTTATTTTTAACTTCAAAGAGTTTATTAGAAAATAATATTTTTTAAAAGCGCACATAGTGATGAGCCCACGAGGATGGAGCCTGTAGTTTGTACAGAGAAAAAGGATGTTTTTGCATTAATAAATTGAGACATAACTGCTGTAAATTTACTAAAATGTATTTTTGAATATTTTGTAATAGTTTTATAGAAATAAAACGTGCCACGCACAGACCGGTTAGTACGTAATAACTCAGAAGTCCTGTTGCAGCCCCTGTTCTGTTCCTTTGGGCTCCACTGCCGGAAACCGAGAGCCCCCAGGATTCATCCTTGTGTTGCCCGGATTGTGAACGCGGGCAGATGTCGCAGAGTCGGCCAAAGTAGGCCAAGCTGCCTGTCCTCGCCGCTGGAGAACCCGCAGCTCTGGCGGTAGTCACCGTGTAAGCTCTCCTGCACTCCCAGAGGTTGGGGTGCCATATGTGAGGGTCCGTGTTTCCCAGCCTCAGCTGTTAGCTAGCAGAGCGCAGTCTGTAGACCTAGAGGCGGTGAGCCCGGGGGAACGCTCCCAGTGTGACTGCCAGGCACTTCGTGCCTTGCCCTGGTCTTGCCCTGTCGGAGCTGTAGCCGCAGCAGCTTTGTGAAGTCTTGCTGTGACCTTGCCAGAGAGGTACTGATGGGTGACCCTCCCATCTCTGAGCTCAGCCTCCCTGCGTGGTCTCCGGGGGCTGTGCCAGGGTCTCCGACCACGCCTGCTTTCTGTGTGGAGTGGGTGCTAGGCCTGCAGTTGCATCCCTGTGGCACAGTCGGAGCCCAGTGTCAGCGGAGGCCGAGCATGCTGCCTCGCAGCTTGGCAGGAGGTCTGTGCTCTGGGTCGAGTCATTTCCAGCTCTGGCTTGTCGGTGCCTGCTGTCACCGTGGGAGCCCTGGGTGGAGACACCCAAGTGGCCAGCCTTGGAAGGGAGGAGACTGCCGGCAGAGGACACCAGCTGGGAGTGACCCAGTGTCGGGAAGAGGCCTCGCTGGGCCTCAGGCCCCAGGGCAGGGGCTGGCTCCGAGGGGAGGCCTGTGGAAGTCTGCAGCCAGAGACTGGTCCCCCAGGCCTTCTGTGCTCAATGGGCCGTGCCCACACCAGTGGCTATGGGGTCAGGGCCAGCCCTCGAGGCAACAGCAGACCTGGTCTTCTCCACTTTCCTTGTTGTCCAGGGGTGAGCAGTGTCCAGCGGGCATTTCTTCTGCCAGTCTGGCTGTCCAAGTTGGTTTGATCAGAGGGACCCGAGCAGTGGGCACGCTCAGGCTGTGCTTGGGGACCTGACGCCTTCCAAGCAGCTTCTCCAGCCCCCTCAGTCGCTCTTTTAAGGTCCTTTCACAGCAGCTGGGCGTGGTGGTGCCCACCTGGAATCACGTCACCCGGGAGGCTGAAGGAGGAGGATCGCTGTGAGTTCCAGGCCAGCCTAGACTACATAGCGCATGCAAGGCCAGCCTGAGCTGAGACCAGGGAGGCCCTGCCTCAAAACCAGAAACAAGAAAGGCCTTGTCAGACAGGCGAGGACAGGAAGCTGCTGCCTACGCAGAGCAGTGCCACCCTGGCCTGGAGAAGGTGCAGCCCTGCTGCCTGTGTGGGGGTCTTCCTCTGAGGTTGCAGTACCTGGAGTTTGTGCAGAGTCTGCTGCCTGCCCCTGGGGACCGAATTCATATCTGCTCCTGTCAAAAATGTGCTTTCGAATGTACTTGAAACTGGCATCATTGTGCTCTATTGTTTGGGTCATTAAAGGAATTACAGAGACTTTCTGCAATGTCTGTTATGTGGCCGAATTCCTCTCCCACACCGTCATCTGCTCTTCTCCTTTCCCTCCGCGAGCGTGTGCGGCCCATGTGAAAGGAAAGTTCTACCGAGCAGCAGGTGGCTCTCAGCGGGAGCTGGGTCCCCGCAGGAGTTTCTCCCAGTGCAGCCCTTGGGGCTGACGCGGGCGTCCTGCCCCGGCCGAGCCCCTGTGCCGTCAGCACCGTGCCCACGTGGGGCACTGGGCAGCCGGGCGAAGAATGCTGGTCAGTTGAAGGATCTGGCGAGAAACCAGCACAGTGCCTGCCAAGGAGCTGAGCTGGCATCCGAGCCGGTGTCCAGGGCTCATTACAGACACAGGCTAGGCGGCGGGCTCATTCGTCCCCACAGATGCCAGGGAAGTGGCCGTCACAGCACTGCCTGCCTTCCTGGGTGACCAGTGGACATGCATCCTGGGAGAGAGGACAGGGGCTCTAAGTTCCACGTCCACACAGCCTTTAAGCCGAGACTGTTTTTTTAACATCTTAAAGTATTTAAAACAGTCTAAGAAAGCATACTGTCTCCTGGCCCACGAACGCTATACGAAACTGGGATTTTAGTGTCTCTCAATAAAGCTTTATTAGGACACACAGCACTCATTTGCTTTTGTGTCCGGGCAGCCTGGCCCGCCGCAGAGCTGCGCCCATGTGGCTTGCAAAGCCCCAGGTGTCCCGTGGGCTCTCCACAGAACGTTCCCACGTCCTTCTGGGGATCTTGCATTGAAACCAGGACTGGCTCTGGGAGCTAGGCTGGGGCGGGCCGAGTCCAGCCCTGTCCACTGGTAGGTCTCTCTAGGAGGGGTCAGTGACAATGCTCAGCCCAGGCAGGCCTGAGTGTAGACAGGAAAAAGTGCCTGGGCCCAAGGAGTCCTGAGCTTCGCAGGCCTAGGTGGCCTCCTGGAAAACGAGGCAGCAGCCCCTTCCGGCTGGGCACCCTCAGGACTCACAGCCACCCAAGGCCTAAGGCCCAGAGCACCAGCGCCCCGGGAGGCCCTCAGGGCCCAGCTGTCCTCTCCACTGGCCTAGCCAGCCAGGTCCTCGCTGAGAGCTGTCCCCAGACCCAGTCCACCCAAGGACAAGGCCAACAGGCAGAGCCCAGCAAAGGAAAGAGGGCTGCCAGACCCCCTGTGCCTCCTGGCCCCAGACCACCGCAGGGCAGCCCCCAGGGGTCGCGGGCCTGTTCGCTTTCTGTCCCGAGCTGGCCTTCCTCTCTGGCCCTCACACAGACCCGGGCACTCCCTGTGCCCCATGGCCCCCAGCGTGAAAGGTCCCAGGGGTAGAGAGCGGGCTCTGCGGGTGGACACGCATGTTCGGCCCTCTCCTCTCGCTGCCTGCTGCTCCTTGTCTCCTCTCCACGAGTTCCCAAGGTCCCGGAGCCGCAAGAGGAAGGACTGGACACGGCGGTCCCTGCGTGGAGGCCGGGCGCCCTCTGGTGGTCCAAGGGAGGAAAGCCAGAACCGTGGCTGGTGCGGAGGACAGATGCCAAACACCTGCATGATCAGGACCAGGACCTAGGCCGGCACGGAAAGGTGTCCCTCGACACCAGGCCTTGGTCCCTGGGAGGCCCAGCCTGAGTCACCCCTGGGCCTCACTGGGAGAGGAGACCAGGCATGAGGCGAGGCCTCGTCTGGGGCCAGGGTCTGCTGCCCCGGACCTGACCTGCCGGGGCTCCACGTGCTCCTGCAGCGACACCAGCACATTGTGCCCGGCTGGCCGGCGGGGCCCCATCTGCTGTGGGCTTGGATGTGAGGCCGAGCTTCCTTCTGCTTCGTGGAGAAGTTCAGAAAGAAAAGCCTAACGGAGGGATGCTGAGGATCACCCCGAAGACGTTCTCTGCTGGAGCCAGCTGTGACTGTCAGGACTGACCTGTCCCGAGTCATTCCCCTGTAACGAACACATTTCCACCTGGGCACCGCACAGGCCTCAGACAGCCACGGCTGAAGTGTGTGCACCTTCCCCTGCCCTGGCATTCCAGCCAGGGGACCAAGAGGGTGCAGGACCTGCTGCTCCGTGTCCAGGAGTAAGTCAAGAACGAGAGAAGGGAAACCAGACATGGAAGCATCCACCTGTAATCCAAGCACTTGGGAGGCTGAGGCAGGAGGATCTTGAGCTCAAGTCATGCCAGGACAACTTAGTAAGACCTTGTCTCAAAATAAAAACAAGATTTAAAAGGACTGGAGCTGTGCCTCAGTGCAAGCCCTGGGTTCAGTGCCCCCTGGGGCAGAGAAGAAGGAGCCACACAGCTGCTTCGGTTTTCTGGGGCAGTCAAAGTCATGCGTCCACTCTACCGCAGCCTGCTGAGTGTGTGCTGGTGTCATGCCTGAGAATCGGTGTATGCACTGGGATTTTAACCTACTTTATTGCTCCTGCATTTGGGAGGCTGAGGCAGGAGAATCGTTGTGAGTTCACAGGCAGCCTGGACTACATAACGAGTTCAAGTCTGGACTGGAATACGTAGTGAGACCCTGTCTCAAAAACAAAGCAAAGCAGAACAAAACAAAACAAAATAAAACAGAACAAAAAGAAACACTTTATTGTTAAAGTGCTATGAGTGGCACAAGCTCCTGGAGCTGTGATTTGGGGTTGGAGCAGCGTCCCGTGTCCATACAGACAGCTGGGGACCCATGGGGGTGCTGAAGGTGGGGCACTGTGTCTGTCTCTCAGGGTGGCACGGCCGTGATCAGTGACGTCCCCGCAGCAGCCGTCCACGCCTCCTTTCCCGAGCGCCTCCTCCGTGGCAGCCTGTGCTGTTTGATCACATTTTCTTTCAAAAGTGGAGGCAGGGCTCTCAAACCCCGCCGGCTTCGCCACCCAAGTCAGGGACTATTCCAGGTCCTGTTGCCGTCCCGCTTCCAGCTGTGGGTTCCACCTCAAGACAGCACTTTCAGCCAGGTGTGCTAGGGCACCTGCAGTACCAGCATTCTGGGAAGCTGAGGCGTGCGAATCACAGGTTGGAGCGCAGTCTGGGGAACTTAACCATTCTTTTTTTTTTTTTTGTAAAGAAACAAGAAAAAAAAAAACCCAGAAAACAAAATTCTAAAATATGATAGGAGGGTAACAATGGTTAATACGTTGCATATTGTTATCTGTAAATGAGTTACTCAGAGTACGAGATATCAGCATTTAACTGACCAAACAACATCAGCACAGACCTATTTTTTCAATGAACCGAGAGAAATTAGTAGTATTTTAAACTATCCTTTGTGTATATATTTTTTTTCCTTTGGCTTTTCCCCTTCTTCTTTTGTCCATTCCCCCAAACCAGTTTCTCTTTCCTTTTGAAGTTTCTTCCTATTTTGCAATATCTATTGTACATTTTGGATCTTATTTACTCTTTTGGTTTCTCACACTAGGGAGACAATAAGATGTTTACACATTTGCATCTGATTTATTTCAGAGTAAATAAGTATGAGTATAGTCTCAAGTTGCATCCATTTACCT